CTCTGCCCCAGTCCCACTTGGGGACCCTCTAGGTTGCATACTCCCTTCCTCTCCAACTTTAGGCCCCCAGGGTTTGAGGAATTGGATGGGAATATCCAGGATAAGCAGCCCAGGCATAAGGGACTTGTTTTGACTTAACGATTCCAAAAACAGTCTAGAATCCAGAGCTACTGAGATGTCCTGTCCCCCTGCCATGGGCAAGCTCTAGAATTCTAGAACTTTAGACTTGGAAAAAGTTATTGTGCCTCAGTTTCCTCATCTGTAAAATAAGAGGATTGGACTAGATTCTCTGAGGTCCCTTCCAGTTTTATGTATGACTCTATAATCCTATGGTTTTTGATACCACTACCTCCCATCTAAACTAGAAATCCTGGAAAGCATCTTCCTTATAGAAGTCTGAACACTTAGATTGGTGGGGAGCTCAGTACTGCCCATTCAGCTGTGATTGTTATATTGCGCTGAACCTCACCCACGTTGACCTGTGAGGTCACCTACTTCCCTCAGACTGCCTCTATTCCACTCAGCCCAGGCAGACTTGCCAGCTTGGTTCTCAGTCCTCTGACTGGGGGGTTGGGGTGTGGTTACCAAACGGTCTCCTGGTCTCCTGCGGGACGCCAGCAAAGAGGCTTCTCCCAACCGTGGACACAAGGCAGTAATGTGATGCCTCACACAACTGGTTACTGAGAAAGGCCTCCCCCGAGTGTAAGGAGACTCTAGAAAGCTGCCGGGGGCCCCTCTCTCTCTACCTGAGACCTGTGTTCCCAGATTTCTCTCTGTCCCTCAGTAAGGTAGATTTGGAACCTCCACCGAGACCCGCCTCCCCAAAGGTCAGCCAGAACCCCACAGAAGCACCTGGACCAGCTGAGGATACAGCCCGCAAGAGTGAGTCTCCCTTTGGCCAAGCACTGGGGGTGGCCTGCCATGGGAAGAAGGGTCTCAGGGGGTGAGATCTTGTTCAGAGATGGGGTTGGGACCGCTAAAGCCTGGTCTACATGGAGAGAGACAATATGAGCAGCATAAAATGAGAGAAAGGCAAGGAACCCCGAGAATGTTGGCATGGCCGGTCTGGGAGGGCCCTTAGGACAGACACTTCTGTGGCATTCAGTAGGTTCTTAATAAATGCTTCTTGATTCATCAGAATATAGGATGTCAGGGCTAGGAGGGCCTTAGAACAGGGAAGGTCAGGGCTGGGAGGGCCTTAGAACAGGGAAGGTCAGGGCTGGGAGGGCCTTAGAACAGGGAACGTCAGAGCTGGGAGGGGCCTTAGAACAGGGGATGTCAGAGCTGGGAG